CTTGTATAAATACAGGAGCAGTGAAGCAATATAGATCATTAGAAAATTTCCTAATTTTGTGCCTTCTTTATTTTTCTGTTCTTCAATTATGCCTTTATTTTCTTGTTCCTTTCTTTACCAACTCACCAGCGATAAAGAGGGAAGAAAGATGAGTTATAATATCTTGTTTGGTGACCGAATGTGGTGATACAAAGATAAGTTGGGTTGGAGCGCCAATGACAATTACTGATTAGAGTCTTAACAAGAGACATTTATCATACGGTAAAGTCTTGTATTCATGAATTTGTTTTCTCAAAATACTAATGTTTTGATTTATAGATAAAAAGAATTAGAGCTAATTGATTAAGTGCTGTGAAATAAATGGGTGGAAAAATGATAGTAGTACTATTCTTGATTTAAATAAGTGGCTTTAAGTAGTTAATTATCTGTTATTGCTGATAAAAAGGTTCATTTTTGTGACCAAAATCTTTTTACCGCTGGTATTTCATTTTAAGGAATGAATTCATGAAAATTGAAGTGTTGCCTGTCAGTAAAAGTACTTTTAATAGTAGTGATACTTCAAGATTTCGAAATAAAAGTAGACTTGATAGTAATTAATAAGAGAGCAAAATATAATATATATATATATATATATATATATATATAGAATTGTTATTAATAAAAAAAAACATACCACTTTGTTCCAATCACGTATTTCTGGATCTCTACAACCTTGTTGAATATTTCCATTGGAATCTGTGCCCCAAAAACCATTCAAAGTGAATTTGAGAGGAGGAATTTGCTTACATCCAACTGGAGTATCCTTATTACAATAAGTTTCTGACCATTTATAAACAAATTGTGTTTGTGCTATATTTTGTGAACAAACACAAATGAAAAATAGTGTGAGATGAGTGAGAAATAAGAGTGAAAGGTTCTTCATTTTCATATATATATTTTTAAGATAAAGAATCATATGAGAATTTATAGATGGTTTATTATAAGGTCCTTTGTCTATTTTAAATAAACCATCCACCCACCCACTAGGGCCTTTTCGATCGAAAAAACCGATAGGACGCAATCTATTTTACTGGATTATTGAGTAAAAATCAACTGAATTTGGTAGGTCGGAAAAAGTTGGTCCGTATAAGAAACGATTGATTCGATTGGTAAAAATTGACTGACTTGGTTTTTGAGCAAGACATGAAAGAAACTCGCCCTTTGATATCAAAAGATAAGAGTTGATTATTAGAAATGACTTTGCGAAGGAAATCGATGAGAGAAGGTTCTCGAATAGGGTTATGATCAACGTGGAGTCAATGAGTTCAGTCGAACAAACGTAACAACGTCAGTTAATTGGAGAGGAACAAAATAAATTTAATAACTAATCGAAGTCAATAATTCAATTAATTTTGTAAAATTAGCTGGCTAAAGGTTTGGACCAAAATATCGACCCTTTCGATCCGTTGTTTGAAAATTTTATTTTCAATAAAATTATTCTCTGATTAATATTACCGATTTATTTGATCGATTTTGTTGTTTTTCTTAAAAGGATCGATGGAGCAAGACAAAAATCGGAAGAACGGTTAAAAGGAACATGACAAAGGCGAATTAATATTATATGAGTTACGGTTAGGGTGTGTTTGGTATGAAGGAAAATGTTTTCTTGGAAAATAAGTGGATTTCTAACTTATTTTCTCATGTTTGGTTGGTGAGTAGAAAATATTTTTTAATGTTTGGTTGGTGAACGAAAAATATTTTTTAGAAATTTTGGATTAAGACTAGAAAATCTCTTTAGGAAAATAATTTCTTATCCGAAAATCAACCCGATAATTGATCTAGGACTTGACCCTGTCACCCGAACTAGGATAAGACTCCGATGACCGTTCCAAAATTCGAGCCTGAGATCTGACCCAAGACCTGATTCAGGAAAATATTTTTCAAAAATAAAATTTGTATATAATTTTTTTTTTGACGGGGTAAGGGGGGGGGGGTAGAGGTGGAGGTGGTGTAAAAAAAGATTTTTTTTTAAATTTGAAATATTTTTCAAAAGAAATTGATTTTTTTTCCCTCATAAATTAAACATTTTTCTTACAATTAGATCTCAACCTTTTACAACATTTATAAATGTTCTTGCATAGTCTTTTTTTAGTTGGATTTGACCACACTACATAATTTAGGTTAGAAGTTAGATCTCATTCTTGAAAATTAATTAATGAAGCCTTAGTAATCTTTAGAAACATATCTCTCGTTCACATCATGTATTTTCTTGTACATAAAATAAATTATTATTTATAATATCATATTAAAATGCATTTCAAATTGATTCATGAGAATTTTCTTTGAATGTTTTTAAAAAGACATTTGTAATTTCTCATGAATAAATTTAAATTGCATTATATTAGCCAAAATTTAAAATGAGATGAAATAAACAAATCAAATAAGTTGATATAATAAAATAAGCGGATTATTAACTTATCCAAACATAATGAATTAGACGGATCATGAATATTTGGATTGATTTTGCCCACCCATACCAAAGAGTGATTTGCCTGACTCGTGAGTTAGCAGTAGGTGTTCAACATTTGATATAACATTTTAAAATTTTATTTATAAATTATGTATCAATATGTATAGATACAAATTTTTTTTTAGCAATAATTAATTAACGATAATAGCTTAAAAACTGCTAAATGTGTATTTTTAGTGGCAATTAGCACTTCTTGATGTTACATTTTCATGAATGGTTAGCTACTTTCCAGGAAATTCCAAGCGTAAATCTTTTGATGTTATATATTCTCATCATTTGCGCGTTGAGATTTGTTATGTCTTTATTAATTTGCATCTTCAAGAGCTTAATATGAATGAGTTTGATAGCAATAAGCTTCAAGATCTCAATTGTCAGCTTGATAATTTTATAGTTTATGCTCGTAATTCTGACTAGAGGTTATTCAACTTGAAGGGAATTAGCGACTTTGCTAAAGTATTAGTTGGTGAAGTCAAATCTGAATCAAAGTTGGCTACTTGTTTATTTGCTTATCAAGTTGACTCTCATTCTTCGTGTTGCTACCGTTTCTGTGGAATGAGCTTTTTCATCCATGAAGTACATCAAAAATGAACTTCGTAATAGCTTAGGTGATGGTTTTTTTAATAGTTGTGTAGTGCTCATTTCTTTAACATAAAATAAATGAGGGTGCTTGCAAGAGTGAATTATTAGTTGTAATTGGTAAGAGAAGCTAGGAAAATTTGGACTTCATTTCTTAGTTTTTCTAAGAAATGAACAGTTTTTAACTATAACGTTTAAATAGTTGTACACTTGTACAGTTATACAATGCGATTTATAGTAACTTTATAATAAGAGAAGTGAGCACCCACGAAGATCCTGGATCCACAACTGATTGGGGTAAAGAATTTCCTAACAAAGAGGACTTCGTATTCAAAGAATTCAAAACTGAGACTAGGGGTGTTCATGGTTCAGTTTGGATCGGTTATTGGTTAAAACCAAAACCAAACCAATCTAGTCGGTTTTTTAAATTTCTAAAACCAAACCAAACGAAAAACATAACCTTCAGTTTGGTTATTGCCGCTTTGGTTCGGTTGGTTCAGTTTTTCTGATTTTCTCGATATGCAAGTAATAAATTTTTTTAAGGATTCGTAATTGTCGTTCATATTTGACATTATTTAGCTCATTTTGATCCAGTCTATTTCAGCCAAAGTAATATTTAAGAGGATAAATAACTCGTACATTTAATTTAATAAGTCAACTCATTTTAATCCGACAAATTCAGCTCAATCCATCTATTTGACACCCTTAAAACAAACTTATCTTAATAATTGATATCATGTACAAGTTAAATTCTACTTCAAACGAGAATTTAATATTTGATTTTAAAAAAAGATTCAATCTTCAATGGAGGAGGTGTTAAATACATAATTAAATTTATAAATATGCTCTAAATTTCAAGCAACCAAAATCATGTCCACAACATCTTATTAATAAGCAACTGAAATTACGTTTACGAGGCTTAAGAATAGAGAAACTCTTGGAAGGGTGCGCTAGCTCTTCCCCCTCTATTGAGTCCTATGATGTGGTGAATCCAAACTAGTTGAGCTAGTAAATTTTGAGTATTGAATAGTTATGAAAACAATAACAGTAAAAAGTACGTTATTTAAATCTCAAACAAGTTAAATCGATTGTAGGAATCGTCACTTTTTCATTTAATCTTAACTCGTATCATCATCAATATATATATATATATATATATATATATATAAACAAACAATTGAATCTGTCATTATTTTCATGGGAAAAAAAAGAGCTTGAAGAGTAAAGATTAAAAAAATGAAAGTCTTAAACCAACAAGCATTAATGATTTAGTATTGCTATCACGGTAAAGACAAGAGTTCGATCTAAGACGGCTTATCAGACGAATTGGACAGATAACTATTGCTTAAAGGTTTTACTTATCGGTTATCGACTTTTTAATGTACTAATATACTAACCAACGGATAAGATATTGTGATTAGTTGATATCAAATTAGGAATTATCAGGTGATTCAGGCGGCATACTATTAATTATCATCTTAATCAAAGAAAAGTAAAATCACAACAAATAGTCCAACTTCCACCAACAAAATTAAAATCATAGCTTCAGTTCTTTTGCACAACTGCTTTTGCAAAGATAAACCATTATATGTTTCAGATCTATGCTATCGGTGCACAGATAGACACTTAAATTTGTATAAAATTGAACAAGTAACATATGTCCTACATCTAATTATCGATTACAGTTTGATTATCGATTATGATTTAATTTTGAACAACAATCCCCGAATGGTGCATTTTTTTAGTAGTTATACATATACAATAATAATTTATTTTTTTTATTTATTATCCGCTAAACGATACCCGCTTTAAAGCCCGACAATAATAATATTAAATACTATGAAATAAAAATAAAAAAAACCTATAAATGTTCTTATAAAGCTCCCACTCAATTGCTCAACTAATTAATCAATCACACAGCATGAAGAAACTTGTTACCTTCTTTCTTCTTGTCATTTTGCTACTTGAAATAACAATTTCTGTTGACTCCCAAAAGCTAACACTCTTGAAATTTGTGCTTCAATGGCCACCAACTTACTGTATAGGACTGAATTCTGCAGCACCACCAGGCAGGTGCAAAGAGCCAATTCTTCAGCATAAGTTGACACTCCATGGAGTTTGGCCAGCAGATCAAAGAGGAAATAGTCTTACATGCCCTGAACCACCAGATCCAAATTGGAATCAAGTGGTACGTACTGACTTTTCAGTCACAAGAGTTTATGTTTTATGCACTGACAATATTAAATTAATTTTTTCTATATATAAACCGGTCATATACATGTAAGTTTATATATTTAAGGGATTAATTAATCTTTGTAAACACCTATTTTTTATTATTATTATTGAACATGAGTTTTTACAATATTTTTTGTGTTTTAATGTTTCTTTAGGTCAAATCTTTGACATTTTGACTTTTACATAAAGATATTTATATGTAATTACCTATAAAATGATTTGATGGTGTAAATATTTTTTTCAGTTTACAGCAGCGGTAGAGAATCAACTCATGGCATTCTGGCCACCACTTAGAGAAAACTCTCAAAAAAGGGACCTGTGGAAGCACGAGTGGCGCGCGCATGGAGCGTGTGGAGGAACAACACCACAAGTATACTTCAACACAGCAATAAAGATCAACAACATGCTTCAAAAGGGAAACTTGTTCAATTACTTGAAAACAAGTGGGATTATTGCTTGTAATAGTTTGTCTTTTGCTAAAAAAGATATCGTTGATGCTATTCGAAAGGTGTTTGTTCAATTACTTGATGTTTACCTAACATGTATTCCAATTGATGCAACAAACAAAACTCATGTTTACTTGAGTGAGGTTACCTTATGCACTAATTTGGTTGGCACTAGTTTCATTTCATGCCCCATACAAGCTACTCCAACAAGTTGTTCTAGTGGAGCTAGGATTATGCTACCTCATCCAAAACCTCAATGTCACGATCCAAAAATGGATGTGATGGCACTCGTCTTATCCCACCAAGACAAGTCAGCTTAACGCTCACCCATTACAATAAAATGCGGAAATTTCATAATTAACTCAAAAATACCCCCCAAAATCTGGTTGTCACGCGTACAAGCCTCTAAAGTATTACAATAGATTTGAAAGAAAACGTAAGTCTTAAATGATGTTGTATCTAAAATAGAACAATATCATAAATAAGAGTAAGAAGGTCCGCTGAGATGACAAACAGCTACCTCACAAATCTCCAAGAAGCCTCGGAAAATAAGAGAATGGAAAGTATCACAAAATCCAGGCTCGTAACCTACAAAAATTTGTAGAAGCAAGGGGTGAGTACCAAACCACACGGTACTCAGCAAGTACACCTCTAAACGCAAGCTAATGGAATAGAATACGGGTACTCCTTACACCCCAACCGAACCTCCACAACTACAACCTGCATAAAACCAGCCCAACCTAACAGTTCACAGTTTACATAGCACCCAGCTCAACAACAATCATTTTAACAATTACATATCCTCAACAACAAACTCAATATTTATCAATCACAACTTTCATAAAAAAGCATTCACAAATATCAACAACACACAAGATCAAGTTCATCAAATAGAGGTAATCAAACATCAAGTACTTTCCAACCACCAATAAAACATATAATCATCAAGAATGAAGGATGTCATGGAATGCAATGCAATGTGACACCATGAAATGATATGCCTCAGAATACCAAGTACTCTCTCAACCGTATATACATGATACTCCTCGAAAATACATCGAGAGTTCATGACCCATGGGGGACTCGCGAGGTCCATATACCGACAGGGACGATCACCACGTGTCTGTGCGGACGATCTCAACGCACTACCATAAATCAAATGAATTTCGCACGGATGATCTCCACGTGCCCAATTTATAATCTTAACATCTCACCATCCCCAGCACGGACGATCTCCACGTGCCCAACTTATACTCAATCTCATGTCAATACATGTGCAAAATATGATTTCAATAAAAGGGATGATGCATCTCAATCAAATATCAATATGATATGTAATCACCTCAGCTATCACCAGTATACAGGTTCAATAAAGAACACAATCACACATAATAAATCAAGTCAATAACATGATATCAACTAATGCCCATATGCTTGGCATTCTCGAATTACAATCCGCATTCTATAGTAACAAACTTTCCCTTTTATAACACCGGTACTCGTATCAATGCCCATCACAGACAATTCTCAACACATCACACACAAACAATTAATCACATTGCCTTTTATTACCCTTTTTTCATTATTAGAATTAATCAATGTGGACAAGTCAACCTATCACCATGTCTCATTACCTCCAAACACATATTACAAGGAAACACATGAATTCCATACACTTAACAAGGGTTTAGAAATCCACTTGCCTCAATCAATCAAGAATTCACTCCGAAACTTGAGCCTTCCCCTTTTTGTTGAACTTCCAACTCAAAGCAATCTATTTAAATAAATGATCACAATAAGATTTCAAGACTAACAACGCCTACATATCTATGTTTAGTCTAGACTCAAAAACTCACTCAAATATACAACCAAGTTCCTAATCTTGATGCCAATTAACATTTCAATTATCATAATTTCCAAGTTTTAAGTCTAGGATTAAGTTTCAATTTCTCCAATTAATACAACCCTAATAGTTTTCATATAATATAATATATCAATATTTAATATACCAAAATTTAAATCATAATGCGATAATTATAAGAAGTTGGAAAATAAGGAAATATCAAGGTCCAAAAAGAAAACAGTATGTTACTCGCTGGAACTAGAAATTTGCAGAAATCAATATATGCACTCTATCTATTTCAAAATCATCACTACCCACTCATGGTATAACCCAATCAGTAGACTAATCATTAACTAAATTACTAACTAACCATCACTCATCAATTAATTCCTCACCCCTTATTATCATTGGTTAATAATAGTGTACATTAAAACCTTGCCCCCGTTAAACTTCGAAACACTACGGATTGGTTAACTTTAAAACCTACACTTCTTATCTAATCTCTTTTAATACGAATTGAGTTATATATTGTATATATGCAGCAGTAAAATAATTGTATGCAGGCACACACTTGAAAAATTGCTTACCAGGAGGCCGTCCTCTTCGTTGCAGATGCGGCAACCACGCACCTTTTAGGTAGTTTTTATTTCTTTAAAGAATAATAATTATTATAGATTTTAAGTGACAAACTCCATTAAATTATTTTAATAAATATAGGTCAAGTGGTATAGGTTCTTAAAGAAATGATCACTTTAGTCCATTAACTACCGATTAAGTCAAATATCTACAATTATCCATCAACTAATTATCTAAAGTTAAACGAATAGTTTAAAATTTCCAAAAATGACCTTCTGGGTCATTACACTCAAACAGTAAGAGTTTAATTTTTGTAAAAACTTACTCGCATTCAATCATTTTTATTAGCCAATTTCCGACTGATTCTGTCGGAATTTTTGCTAAACTAATGTTTTTAGTAGTTATGTGATAATATTTGCATAACTATAACACCTTTGAAAGTTTCTGATCTTAAACATGTTAGAAGATCATATTAAGTAGGAGTACTTCTTTTGTATGTGTTTTAATTTGAACGGATAAGAAGTTTAAGAGAAGTAAGGTAACTTTTAAAAGTTTATAATCTTAAAACTAAAACTATAATTATTATTTTTTACGTTACATTAATTATATCTTTATTATTTTTTTAGGTCACTATCGCCGCCTTCACCACCACGGAGATTCCAAGAAGAAATAAATCTAGATGGGATATATCCTAAGTTTGAACAATCATGAGCTAAATATATATTCAACGGCTAAGATTTATGTTTGGCTTAGAATAATAAATAAATAATGCACACTCAGAGAGTGAAAATAACTTATTATATATCTTGAATAAAAATTTTATTCTATTCTCTCTCTTAATTAATATTGGTTTTCAAGGTACTCAAAGTCTCAAACAAAAATTTAGCACAATATTCATGTTTATCAATTTTTTCATCATATGCAAAAAAATTTGTAATTTAATTTATAATATTTTTCGTATAATTTTTAATATCTAAATTTTTGTTTGAAATATTGAATTACTGTAATCTAATTTCACTTTGAAAATTAGTTAAATTAACTTTTGAAAAACACAACATGACAATTAAAAATGGACAGAGAAAGTAATAAATAAAATAGAAAGATGATCACTTTATTTGCTTCATTATTTAGTACATATCATAGTCACAATTGAAACATTATTCATCTTTCTATTATTATAATATAAAATATTACTCACTAAGCTTTCTTACAAAGCTTCACATAGATACTAAATTAAAATAATTGACCAAGGATCTCCCATAAGCTTTTGGATTGAAGCTTTTCTCCTGTCATTCGAGCCTGCACAAAAAAATAAAAAATCAACATATCTTAGTTTAGTATGGAAATGTTCAATACCTCAATGGATGATTTTAAATTAATTTTCAAATTAAAATTATTTTTAAAAAACCTTGAAAATTTGTCATAATTTATACTCAAGTTATGTACACTGATAGTAAATGTGAAGCATATTTCTTATGATTTTTAATTGATTACTGCTGAATCTAATGAGTTAAACTTAAATTAAAATAAAAAAGGAAAAAAAGTTTTCTAGTTTTATAAGTGTTTTCTTTAAAATAGAAATTAGAACTGAACTTTATAAGGTACCACTAAAACTTAAAGGTAAGTTCTATAAAGTGATCATTAGATCGACCTTATTGTATGGGGTGACGTGTTAGCCAGTCAAAAACTCTCATGTCCAAAATATAATTTGTTTTTTTACTCAAACAAATACTCACATCAAATCATACTAATATACTATGGTTAAGTGATAAACTAATAAGTGAAAGTAAATGAATAAAGTGCATGTACGAAATCAATATTACAAATTCATTAGTTTGATATAATTAACATGATATATATATATATATATATATATATATATAT